ATACTACGTTATATCCATGTTCATTAGCTTTCTAACGCTTCGAACAGGGGTCAAAACGGACTTACGTATCAAAAGTTACGTCCAAAACTATTTCGACCGAAAACATGGACAGTCGTGACGGACAACATGCAATTTTCTGTGTTTTTCACCGTTGGAGGCCTTCCGGACCTACGATTTCGATTCCGTAAAAACCCAAACTCTCATAAAATTACAACCCATTCAACACTATAATTATCTCAAGTAAATTTACAATTTTAACACAATTAAACCACCTAATCATTGTTTTAAGATTATGCATAAAACCTTTAAAATTAAGGGATATAAGTTCAGTCCCGTATCATATTTACGCCCTAAATCACAAATTTCTCTAAAATTGCCCCAAAGGCATCAGAGTTACTCACTGTCTAATATTCCTATCCCTTCAGGGTCAGACATGTTCAAATCATAGTTTTAGCCACGAAGGCCTAAGGTTTCCTTTTTCCCCAATGAACCACGGTTAGATTCACTAATAATAGATTTAGGCCACGAAGGCCAAAGATCACTATTTCTCATATTTACCCTCAAACTCTCAGGAATACTTACCACTACGCCACAACCATCAGAGTTCTCACTATCAAATTTCCCTACAGGGTTAGACCAATGTCAAATAAGAGTTTTGGCCACGAAGGCCTAGTTTCCCTTTTACTCCAATGAATCCCATGGTTAACATCTCAATACTAGATTTAGGCCACGAAGGCCAAAATCCCTTTTTCTCACAATCAACCCCAAAATTCCTTAAACCCTTAAATCGACCTTAAATACGTTGAATTTACACATTGAAAATCATGAAGGCAATACTCCCCATACCTTAATTGTCGATCAAAGCCTTCTCAAATATTTCCAGGAATCCTCCGAAGCTTTTGCCTTCATTCTTCCTTCTCAGAGCTCTGGCCTTAATTCTCCTCACGGTCTAACAAATGAGTCCTAATTCCATCATAATTTCCTTTTTGTTAAACCTAGACTTGGGCCTCACAATTGGGCTTTTCCCATATTATCCTCACTAACTCCTCTTAATTTCCAATTTGCCTTTATTTCACTTATATTTATTTTAATTAATAATTATATTTATATTATATATTATTATTCAAAATAAATAACTCAAATTCCATTAATTCCTAATATTCCACAAAACCACCGAAAATCACCAAAACGGGAATGCTCTCATTTAAATAAATTAAATTAAATATTCCCATAATATTTGGGGTGTTACATAGATGATATTGTCATAACTGGTAGTGATCAACAGAGGATGCTCCAGTTGAAAAAACATATATCGAATCAATTTCACACTTAAGACCTTGGTAAACTCCGTTGTTTTTTTGGGTATTAAGGTAGCCCAATCTAAAGATGGTTTGATGATTTCTCAATGAAAATATGCTATGGATATTTTGGAAGAAACATGTTTTTTGAACACTAAACCAACTGATACTCCTATAGATCTAAGTGTCAAACTCCTACCCAACTAGGGGAACCTCTATATGACTCAAGAAAGTATAAAAGATTGGTTGAAAAGTTGAATCATCTCACAGTCACTCGTCCATACATTTTTGTTGCAGTTAGTGAGGTAAGCCAGTTCTTAAATTCTTCTTGTCAGGAACACATGAATGTTGTTATCCGAATCTTGAGATACATCAAATATGCTCCTGTAAAATGTCTCGTGTATGAAGATAAAATACATACTCTAATAGTTTGATACCCCCATGCTGATTTGGCAGAGTCACCCATTGATAGACGATCAACCTATGAGTATTGTGTACTTGTTGGAGGAAACCTTATATCCTGAAAAAGTAAGAAATAAATTGTAGTGCAAGATCAAGCAGTGAGACAAATTATAGGGTCATTACAGTGGCAACAGATGAACTCATTTGGTTAAATCAGTTACTCAAGAAAGTTCAAATTGAAGAAGTAAGACCAATGCCGTTTATTTGTGAAAATCAAGTTGCATTGCACATTGCTTCAAATCCAGTCTTCCATGAGAGGATCAAACATATTGAGATAAACTATCACTTTGTCAGAGAGAAGATTGAATCAGACGACATCATCACAAGATTTGTCAATTCTAATGATCAATTGACAGATGTGTTTACAAAATCCATGTGAAGTCCCAAAACTAATTATATATGTGACAAGTTTGGTGCATTTGACTTATATGCTAAAGCTTGAGGGGGTGTTGATATCTACTTTTAATATATAAAAGTTAATTACCACCATAATTACTTAATTACCCTAATTACAATCCATAATATAGCTAATTTCATGTTCCTATAAGTAATTTCGTAATAAACTCTTTTTAATACTCTAACTAACCCTACCATTTTGCAATTTAATAAATTTGTCTCGACAACATAAAGAAACTCTTTTTAATACTCTAACTAACCCTACCATAGGTTTTATTTAATTGAATAAATTGATATTATTATTATTAATATTGTTATTTATTAATATTTATTATCATCATTATTAATCCCATTTACCCACTTAATAACTCAAAATATTCCAAAACCACCATTCCAAAACCACTGACAATATTATACCATTTTAAATGTAATGGATACAGATATGCAACTTCCAATACACGTGTTTCAACCCTAAAAAATCAGTATATCCACACCTTTCACTTCAATATTTTTTGCTTATATTTGAAGCAAACTTTTCCAAAAGTAACCATCATCAAACCTATATCTATCATACTTTTCAATAAAGATAGAAACCAAATTTGAATAATATAATATTAATTTTTTTTCAATCTAACAAATTTATTTCATTCTCCTATAAGATTACTAAAATACAATTTTAAATTAATTTCAGGTACAATATTCTGTTTGGATTCATATATTTTTTTAAAAAAATTATTATATAATTGCAATTTTTATAAATTCATTCTGTACATTGACAATATTTTTTCTTAATACTGTTTTTTTCTTACATTGATAATATTTTTTCTTACCTATTTATACTACTAAAAAATATTACCGTTATTTTATTATTGTTGCAATCTTATCATTCCAAAACGAAATCAATATCCTGAAATCAAATTAATTATTATTGTAGTTTTTTTGCCAAATATTATCGTTGCTTGATTTTCTTTAAATGACAAAATGAATTTTTTTAATAATAAATATTGCCGTTATTTTATTGTTGTTGCAATCTTATCATTCCAAAATGAAATCAATATCCTGAAATCAAATTAATTATTATTGTATTGTTTTGTCAAATATTATCGTTGCTTGATTTTCTTTAAATGACAAATTGAATTTTTTAAATAATAAATATGAACCACTTAAATTGTAGGAGCGTGTGTTTCTTTATGGACATTGCAAATAAGAGAACGTTGGAAAATATCAAATATCCAAATGCTTCTGACATAATATATATATACTTAACATGTACCTTATATATTATATATTAGCATTTCAAGTATTGTTGCAAATTCAAGAAATGAACTTATCATGTTATATATGATTACTTTCTTATATATTATATATTATATATGATTACTTCCTTAATATAGTATACAAAAAAATTAAGCAAATTATATTACTATAAATTAATAATGTTTTACTTTATTATGTTCCAAACTGGAAAAAGTTATTTGTGGAAATTTTTTGAACCCATTTATTGATCATTTAACATCCATTACATTAAAAAAAACTCTTATACAATAAATTTGTGTACGTTGATCCAACTATATATATATATATATATATATATATATATATATATATATATATATATATATATATATATATATATATATATATATATATATATATATATATATATATATATATATATATATATATATATATATATATATATATATATATATATATATATATATATATATAAACAAAAAAAATATTATATTTTAATTTTTTTTAAAATAAATTATTGCACTTGCGCGAGCCGTGCGAACGCACGGGTCCTTTACTAGTTTATATATATTGTTAAAATATTTGTATGTAGAAAGTCCAACATCAACTATAACATGTAATTAGTTGTAAATATCTCTATATATAATAAAGTATGCATAGTACTTTTTAAACACACAATTTATTCAAATATCTCTTAGTCTCTTGTATATCATTAAGTTTCTGTCGAGTTAGACACTACCCTAGTCATATTTTTTTTGATGATTTGAGAAAAAAGTAATTAGTTTATCCGATCTACAATCTTGTTTGTATTTAATTAATATGTTTAACTATTCACAACTTATTATATTGATATTTGACATGCAACATGTTAAATTCATATGCTTTAATAGAACATTCAAGTTCGTTGTGTTTGTTCATAAATTCAACCATTTTAAATTCTAAAATTCAGAGGTCTCACAATCGCGCTCCAAATTACAAAATTCGGATGACATTTTGTTATATTATAATTAATTAATTTATAATTAATATAGAACTATATTTTAACCAAAGTTTTTTTTGCTTATGATAATTTTTTAAACCATAATACACTCCTTCCCCCCTCTATTCCCATTATACACGCCCCTTTCCCCATAATTCACAAAATATAGCATTTTCAAACGAAACAACTTTTTACACAAGGAATGTATTATGGTAAAAAAAATGCACCATATGTCTTCTGTACTTTTTTAATGCATTTTCTTATATGTCTATGAAGCCAAAGTATATCAATGTATATGAATCATTGTTAAATAAAGAAAATTGATAACAAAAAAGGTGGAATTATTTTGGGGTTATGAAGTATCCTTGAAATCAATTTGCAATTGCAATTGCGACAATTATTGTTTATTGCAGACATAATATGGATATTGAATTTCTTTTACAAAGATTTTCTATCTCTCAATATGAAATTGTCATATTAATTTTATAAATAACTTTTATGCTCTAATAATACTAACAGTGCAGACACATCCATATACAACTATTTTGTTTTCATTCAAGCAGAAACACTAATAGATTCAGAACAACAAAAGACAGTAGTTGTATATATCAGCAGTAAGATGGAACGTCAACCGGTCGGTACACAAAGGTTCTGACAGTGTGTGAATACCCTGATGGATGATTGTAACTGAATTTCACCCCTACGCTACCGCTCCCAAGATTTGTGCAACGATCATGGAAACTACTGATTGGTCGAGAAAGACATGCATCCCAACGATCACTCTCAGGCATTGTCTCGGCTACTGTGTATATCCCCTTAGCATCTGTAAATGCCTGATAGTTTAGAACATCGCCGGATTTGGTGATGCAAAGAACAGCAACTTCAGCACCTGCATCAAAGCGTCAGGGGACTCGATTTTATTAATACAAAGAAATTGAAATGCGTTTCATTTTCTACTTTTCTTTTTAAAATAGTGCAAAAGTTCTGCTGAGTGATTTTGATGTTACGGGTTTGAGTCATGAAACAAATCTCTTGCAAATGAAAGGTAAGACTACTTACACAATAAATCTACAATGAGGTATAACATTAAAGGCATATAAATGAATGTTTTTAGGATGAAAAATACAACATGAGAGCCTGTAATCATGAAACTGTTTACCCGTGTTTTTAAACCGATTTTGAAAAATGAAAATAACGAGCCACTTGTGACGTAAGCTTTAACATAACTATGGTTCCAAAAGATTTATGCATATTCGAAAGAAATACGAAGAATAGAAGAAAGTGTTATTGTAATAATCATCATCAGACCTTTTGGGAGAACGAGTTTACAAATGCAAAAACAACTCAGAAAGACACTGTTCTTGATCAACATAGTATCTAGTAAACAGGTTGTTTCAATAAGTTTTGTCTTCATTACTTTCAGGCACCCGAATGATGGCGTGTACACCTATCATCGAGATGGTCCCACACAATGACAAGGAAGAGGAAATGGAAAGAATATGATAGTTGGGAGAGAATTCTGTTAGAGACCCACAAAGGGTGAAAATAACCAACTCGAAGTGGAAGGAAAGGATTTTGTGTAGTATAAGAGAGATAACAAAATGATGATTTAGGCATTGTTTGTGTGATGTATTCGTCCCTCCTCTAGATTCTGTACTCTTCCACTGGGTTAAACTCTCTGCTCTGCCTCTGCAGAACTTGTAAAGGACACTAAAAATACCAGGGTTTACAAATTTGCCCCAAATTGAGAATAGCGGCCATCAAACAGCGATGACATTGCTATAGTGCCACTACGAAACCGCTATTTGAGGCCGCTATGACTGCTATTGTCGAAAGCGCTGTGCAGGCCAATGGCGTAACGGTGAGGGGCCGTGCCGCAACACTACGCCGCCATAGCGCGCTATTGACAACCTAGCATTATTGTGAGTGTAAGTTGCAATAATTCTAACGGTTTTTCTTTTGAATCTTCAGCACAATCTTATATCTGTATATCAATTCATATGGTTAAGTGATATTCATATCTCAACAATTAGCATGCATGAGCATTAATCACTATAATTAAGTTAGATCAACCTGTCCTAGACAACACAAAAAACAGTTTTGTTACATAAAGAGAATCGAGTAAAAAAGAGAAATGAGACATCTTCACAACAATTAGAGATAACTTCTTGTCACTGGTATTCAATTCATATAAATTTTAAAGAAATAGCAAAGGTAAAGTGACAAGTTTGAAACATATATTTTCCAAACCACAGTACGATTATTCAAAGTCAATATATAAGACTTAATCAAAAGCATAAATAATCCAGAAAATAAACTACACTAGGGGTTGAGAGCAAAGCCGTCTCAAGTGGTCTCAAGTATTTTGAGGCCTTGTCTAAGTTAGACACAGTTTAACCATAGAAAAAGAAATAGAATCCCTAATTAACCAGGATTTAACCGCGACGATATTTTATGAAGCCATATGTTTAAATAAAGTTATGGGCCCTATGCAGTAACACACCAATGAACCAAAGATGAAAGACGACTTCACAGACAAAGGCAACACTGACCACAGTCGTCTCAACAGAGGTTAAATAATGTTATGCAATTTCATCAAGATCTGTCTACAAATCCAATGCTCAAACCAACGAATGAACCGAATCCATCTCACTCATCTTCTACCAAGTACCAACTAAAGAAGAATAACAAATAATTCAGCGCATATCATCATTAGCTTCATCTTTCCCGTGGTTCATGGACATTTCTCAATAGAACAAACAAATTCTAAAAACAAATTTCAAATTCCACCACACGTACCATCAATTCTAACATAATAAACAACAGTGACACCATAACACAATTCAATTCTCAGCCATCACTTCAAAAACCCCAACTAACAATAAAGGGAAAAACAATTTCATAAACTCAATCAAAATGACACAAAATTCACATAAATCCTAATTAAATATAGAGATACCTTCAAGAACATGATCTTCAGGTCCAAGAGAAGAATCCCCACAAATATCACAAACAACTCTTCCATGAATTTCACCAGTCCAACCACTTGCACCCAAAGCAAATAACATCAACGACAACACAATCAAATCCATCACCATCTTCTGCTTCTTCGCTCCCATAGCTGAAATCGAAAAAGAGCAGCCAAAAAAATGATACTCACCTCAATTCACAGTGATTTTAGGTTTATGAATTTTTTCACCGACACTTTTTGAGTCACTGAGTCAAACGAACTTTTGACTAAAATTGTCATTATGAAAAATATTAGGGACTAACTTGAAAAATCACCCTTCAAGTATTTTCCTATAAAATTAACCATGGACAAAATTGTCATTATGGAAAATATTAGGGACTAACTTGGAAAATCCAACTCCATTTTTTTCCTATAAATACTACCCAAAAACCCAATCTCTTCTGTCAAAACGTATTGCGCCGCCGAGCTAGGTCATTCCTTCTAAAATTATCGGTTTTGATTTCTTCGTTTTTCTGAATGTTATGCTTATGCAAAAATTTTCATTGTTATTGATTTGTAATTAATTTATTTTTCTGAATCTTGTTGTTGTTGATTTCTTTGATAAATTTCATTGTTTTTTTTCATGAATTAACGTCCCGATGATGATTTATCATTATAAAAGTAGTGGACTGATTTTTTTGAAGAGAAATTAATTCAGAGGGATGAACAATTTTTTCTGAATTGTTATGCAATTTGATTTCATTGCTGAAAGCACAGCCCTTAAGATCGCCTTTCAAATCAATGGAAGCGTTTTGAGTCATTGCCGTGCGAAACTAAATTATATAAAGATTCATATTAGGGTTTTCCTTTTATGTTATCTTTTCCACCACTTGTTTTATTTTTCATGAAGCATAGACTCTTTACCATTGGATCTGTAACTTATATCATGTTAATTTATTTGGTTGATAGCTTTTGACCTATAGATTTATCTGGCTTGAGTTTAGTTCTATTGGTGCTTTATTAATGCTTCAACAAACAAGTGGTTACATTTTATTCTTAATTTGTGTCAAATTTCTAGTTATTTTGATGGTTTTTATTTAAGATATTGTGAAATACAAGAATGATGTTTCAATTAGATGTGTGAAAGGAGAAATCCTTGCTGAACTCAATTTTTTGAGGCAAACTGTCTGACTTGTATTTAGTTTTATAAATGAGTGAATTATTTAAGTTATTTTTATTATTATTAGTTGATTGAGATATTACTTTGTATGTGGTATGTAATATATTTTAATTTTTTTTTGTTACAAGGATGATGATTCAATTAGATGTGTGAAAGGAAATCTTTTTTGAACATAGCTATTGAGGCAAACTGTCTGACTTAACTTTTTAGTTACATATTGTTGTACTTTTTATTTGGTTAATAAATTATTACTCTTTCCTTAAACTTATGAATGATGATTCAATTAGATGTGTGAAAGGACTAATAATCCTATCTGAACTCAACATATTTGAGGCATTTGATACATCTGACATGTTAATATTTTCTCAATTTTTAACATCTTTTCTCCTGCCCAATCATTCTATCTTGCATATGATTGTTGATTTTATTGTTAATTTTCATAAATTTCCGTACATTTTGAAAATGTATATTAGACATTTCGAAAAATAAATTTATGAATAATTAGTTAGCATTATTATTTAAAATATCTTTTTATTATTATTTTTTTAAATAGTTAGTTCATAATACTATTAAAATTAGTTCAGTTTGAATAATATGTAATGATATTAAATTTAAATTTTTTGTAAATATATTTTTATTGAATAGATTTATAAAAATTAAATTTTTTAATTAAAATGAATAAATCTATAAGAAATTATTATATATAGTTTGTACTATACAAAGAAATAAATTATGTCTTTGGATACTTCAGTTTTTAGAATGATTATTTAATACAATTAATGGGGAATATTTTATTGCATAATACTTTAAATCTTGCAATTAATTTAAATGTATCAGAACATATGGATATTTATTTAAGTATAAGAGCACCTACCTCCATTAAATATTTTATATTTCCTAATTGTCTCCATATTTTTTAATTATCAAAAATTCTAAAATGGATATTTTAAATGCCCTTAAATTTAATATTATATATATATATATATATATATATAAATAGATAGATATATTATTTTTTATAATAGTATATTATATACATGTAAAATTAAAATAGTTTATTTAATTAAAATAAATAATAATAACATGGTATTAACAGTCCATAATGTAGGTTCATCATTTGTTTTATTTCTATATTTTTTGGCCTTCCAATGGTTCTTCTCATCATAGGTGGTGTCACTGTACTCTGATCAGCTTCAGCTATTGACCATAATTGTGGTCATTGGTTGGAAACAAAATGTGTGAGTAAATCATAAATGTTAAATTACTTTTTAAAACATAAATCAACTATAACAGTGAACAATTAATACAATAATATTCAACATAAATAGTAAATAAGTATGGTAGTACATAAGTCATACCTATAACATGCAACAACATAATACTCATAAGTCAAACCTATAACAACAACATCATTTTTAGTTTTGTTTTTTTATGTTCTATATGCATGCAGTTAAGTGGCTGCAAGGAATACCAGTCTATTCTCACTTTCTACAAGAGCAAGTTTTTTCAAATTAACATAATAAGCATTAATGCTATTGTTGACATTAAATATGTATAGGTTACCATTACCATGCCATGTAGGACTCTATCTTTGTGCTTGCATCTTATTCTTCTCAAGTATGAATTGAATTTTAAGGTATATGGATCATGGGTAGCCCTATAGTATCTCCATCTTATTGGTGATGCAATGTTTAGCCTTCCAATAGGACGATAATAGGTTTCTCCTTATGTTCTAGAATTGCTATATTGAATGCTTCACACATGTTTTTGACTTGTAAATCACATTTTAAATAATTGTTGAAATGTGATATGCTCCAATAACTAGCAGGGATATCAATCATATCTTTCTATGCCTCTTCTTTCCTCATTCCTTTTCACAAATATGAATTGTTGTTGCCTTAACAGTTGCCTAAATTACTTTTTTGAATTTCAACCTAATGTCTCTTCTAGTTGTCATACAAATGCTTAACACACAATTTACACTCCACATTGGCAATAATATGCCTTGAACAACTGGAGCAAGTCCATGTGACAATTAAGAAATCTATAAGTGTAGAAACAAGTCATGACAATAAAAGATAATTTAATTTTAGACCTTTTGTTGATTTGATATAAATAAATTAACTCTCTGATCGTAATCTTTTAAATCATGCAGAAGAAGGTCTAAAAATCATTACCATGATTCTTTTATTTCAGCTTCCACTACCTTATTTGCTATTGTTGATATTAATTGTCCACCATAATCTTTTTTTTAAGAAGCTTGCATCTAACCCAATAGGTGGCCTATATGTCTCTGTAGAACTTGCCTTGCAAGTCTCTAATCAAATATAAATTCTTTCAAATATATGGTTGCCATTACTATCAGCACATTGAATTTCAAACTCTTGTCCATAAGATCTCAATTGAGAGAATTTCTCAATACTAGCCTCTTGAACCAACTCCTATATGCATGGTTATAGGATAATTTCACTCCCCATTTCTCAATAGCTTCAACTATGAGGCTTGCTAGTTTCATATAGGGACTATGTCTAAGAGTGTTGGCAAATCTTTTGGCAAACCACTTTTCCTTTGCATTTCTATTGGTAGTAGTCCTATGACATGTATGTTCCTCAATCAAACCCACAACTTGTCAGCATTGGTTACCAATTCTTTTATAAAACTTACATCCATCGCTGCATTTCACCACAAGCATTTTGGAATCAATTTTCTTAATAAAAACATTCTAATTTTCTATCCCATAGTCCTTGATTGCATCCCTAATGATTTTTTGGTTAGTAAACATCACGCCTAGTTGAAATTTCATCCCCTCACCAAATTTATACGTAAGAAACTTCAGTCATTTCTCATCATCCCTTCTAGGAGTGTATATAAATGGTCTGAGTCCGCGCTTTCATCATGGATCATCTCAACCTGATTTACCTTCTTTTGGCAACTAGCAACCTCACCTAATGTCTCTTGGGGAAGATCTTTAGTCCAGTTCATCTCACTCACATATGAGTCTTCACTAAAATGGAACTTGCTATCCTTAAAACTGCTCTCACTTGCAACATAATCCTTATCAATACTATCTGCTTTTGCTTCACCATTGTTATCATGCACAACATCATTATCTCTTATGACTTCATCATTGTTATCATGCACAACATCATTGTCTTCTACAACTTCATCATTGTTGTCGTGCACAACATCATTATCTTATACAACTTCATCATTATTATCATGTACAACATCATTATCTTCTACAACTTCATCGTTGTTATCATGCACAACATCATTACCTCCTACAACTTTATCGTTAGCTTTATTGATATCATTATTAACAACATTATTAGCATCATCAATGTTAGCATCATCCACAATATCAGAAACTTCCACTTGATGCTCAACATATAAGTTAACATCATAATTTTCGATATCTTTTGAAAATTATAGAATAAAATTACAAAACATCCTTATCATTGTTCAAGGGTATAAGACCGCAAGCAAAACTATATGCTATGTTCAAATACCAAATGCACTTAATATTGACATAACCCTCATTCTTAATGATATCGACATCCCAACTATGTTTCAACTCGTGACTACCCATTAATAGGTTTTTCTACTAGTTGTCCCTTATGATATATCCTCAACCCAACTTTATTAGCCTTAGCTGGCCTAAAAAGTATTTGACAAAAACAGTTTCAATTTAACATAAACCACCAAACGAGACCAAAAATATACCTAAACAATACTAAACTACTGAGACCACAAAAGACATAAACATTCCAGCAATACTAAACTACTGGGACCATAAGAAGCCATAAACAATACTAAACTATTAAGGGACCACAAGTATACACATAAACGAATGGAATAAAAAAACAGTACTTGACCTCTTTGTGTCCCTTCTTTTGATGTTCTGACTTCGTCATCTCCGTTGAATCACAAGCACAAAAGAAATCCACAATCTTGAATTTAAGGCATTTGCACACAGTTGTCGATTTCAC